TAATAAATATTCTTTTTTTTTTTTGTCGTTTTCCCTTTTTTTTTGTCTTGTATCTATTTTTGTTACGAATCTTAAACACGAAATAGATGATGATGAACAATGAAATTTTCTTGCTTTCTTTTTTTTTTTTGTTTTCTTTTTATTGTATATTTCAAGATAAACATGTTAAGACGATTTCTTACAAATCAATTAATTGTTTCTACGCGTTTTGTATCACAATATTATTCAAAAAAGAAAATTCTTGTACCGAGTCGACTCGGGTAGGAATAAAAGAATAAATTACAATTTAAATTTTATTTTCCTTAGTGTTACACCAGGTAATCAACATTTGGAAGTGAATTTATTTGATGATGAAAATAAACAATTACTTGGACGGATGCAATTAAATGAAGCACAAAAATTGGCTAAATATCGTGATTTAATACTTGTACTTTTTGATGAATCTCGTGATCCACCTGATGTTCGACTAATGACGGGAAAAAATTTAGCACAATTACGTGATGAAACACGTGCAAATAAAAAGCGAGAATTATCAAATGAAAAAATAACTGATTTTGTTTTACGTCTTCGTCCACATATTGCTGAAAAAGATTTATTAACAAAATTAGCACAAGCTAAAGCTGCTTATACAAAAGGATGTAGTATTCGATTTTCATTGGATTTTGGACGTGCTATTGATGAAAAAGAAACGGAAAGATTGGTAAGTTATATTTAAAAATAAATGAACAAAAGTTCTAATTACATAAAAATAAAGAGATTTTTTTTTAAATTTTATCTGACCAAATATTCGAAATTAATTGCCACTATTGGTTATCCAATAGATCTACGATAGTTCTATATTAGTTTCGATCTTGAGAACTGTTCCAACAGTTCTTTTTTTTTTTTCAAAATGTTTTCCTTTAAGCACGAACCAATCCCATCTCTGACACTTCATCTGAATATGTGAGTTTCTACTGTCGCAAATTTAAAAAGTGCTCAGTTCTAAAAAGAAGATTCGATGCATGGAACTAGAAACTGTCGTAAGTCTATTAAACAAGAAGTACTACAAAAACTTTTTCTTCGCCAGCCCTTCGAATATTTCTTCGAAGGCTGGTTCTAGTATTGTTTTTTTTTTCAAATTACCACTCATTATCAACAATGTCCTGGTGCAATCGATTAAATTAGATCATGGAGATAGAATTGAAGATTTCATTTACAACTGTTTAAAGCATGCGTAAAATATCGAATAGCTATCGCTGAGTCTTGTTTTGTGTAGTTGATATTTCAGTTTTAGAGTGAAGGTATGTCTATACGTATCATTTTTTTTCTTTGTTTTCAAAGCCAATAAACTTCACCAATGGTCATCCAGACTATTACCAATAATCGATGATGACACACCTCTGAATCGTGACCGCTATCTCACTCAAAGTTTTTGCTCGATTACCCAGACTATTCTATACGTATAATATCAGACATAATCATTGCACAACGTCTTATTGTATATCATAATAAAGGTGCTGATACTGTGCGCATGCAAAGTTCGAAGGGTCAGACGAGAAAGACTTTGAGTAAGACTGCTGTCCCGGTTTAAAACCTGTAGCATCATCGATTATTGGTAATAGACTGAATGGCCATTTGTGAAGCTAATCAGTTTCGAAAAAAGACACATTTAGACATGCCTTTACGCTAAAACTGAAAATGGTTAAATTCGATATTTTTTCTTCTTTGCATTAGTGCTTGTATTCTCTCAATATCACTAAAATGGATCATTTTGAAATACATACAAAATAACACGTAAATATAATATGTGTATACAAATATATAATGCAAGAAGAAGGGAAACAGGAACTTACTTTCGGCCATGGGAAGAACAACATAAACTTTCATATGATTTTATGTACCCAATTCCTTCAGAATTCAAAATGTCCATGGTCTAGTGTTTTTATAGCTGAAACTAAGGCCTTCAAGATTGATCTTTTCTATTGCTTATGATATAGTTTAGAAATAGAAATGTGTAAGGTAAACATTTTTCTGATTCTGCAAAATCTCTACGCTTCCCTATCCTGTAAAATAGCAACCTAAATTTGAGATAAACGGAGTATAATTTTATGTTCTATTGAAATTTATAATTTACTCTAAACGATGTTATTCGATTTTTTTTTTATATGATCTGACTATATTTTAGGCTGCACGTGCTGATGAACAAAAAGAATTTCTTGCACGACTTAAGTCACATCTTGAAGAATTTCCTAAAGTACACACAAATTCCAAAAGTACACGTTCAATCATTCTAATTGTTCCATCGAAATTTCTAGTAGAAAAATCAACTAAAAAACATGAAAAAAACACAGATACACAAGAAGAAAAAGAAAAAGAAGATGAAGAATCAAAATCAATTGACGATAATAATAAATCTTCAATAACTTCACAACATAATCGTAAAAAATCGATTTAACATTCTATTTATAAAAAAAATATCAACGTTTCTTCATTTTGTTCTTTTTTTTTCTTCCTTAGATAATTGTTCAATCGTTGTATTTTCTAGATGATAATTTTAAAACGTTTTTATTTTCGATCGATTCTTCAACCGACATTCTATCATTATCGTACAAATGCTACAACAACAAAAACAAAACAAAATACATTTAATATTGAATATGATCCAATAAAACAATCTATAATTTATCCACAAGAATTAATTATTAATAATAAACATTATCCAACTGATTCATGGACAAATATTAATGGACATATTCTTTCACGTATAGGTCAAAATTTACATCAACAAAAAAATCATCCATTATATCATTTAACAAATCGTCTTCGTCAATATTTTTATCAATTTTATGATACTAAAAAATTGTCACCAAAATTTTCTATTATTGATAATCTTTCACCAATTGTAACAACAGAACAAAATTTTGATTCAATATGTATACCTATTGATCATGTTAGTAGAACAAAATCAATGAATTATTATATTAATAAAAATACACTTCTTCGTGCACATACATCTGCACATCAAGTTGATTTAATACGTTCAGGTCTTAATTCATTTTTATGTATTGGAGATGTTTACCGACGAGATAGTATTGATCCAACACATTATCCTGTTTTTCATCAATGTGAAGGTGTACAATTATTTACTAAAGAAGACTTATTTATTGAAAATAAAAATGTTCTTGGAGATAAAGATAATTTAAAAATTTTTGGACCAAATGGTAAGAAAATAAATAGTTTGTTTTTAGATAGGATAGTTAAACTAAATATATTTTATAAATCAATCTACATTTGATAAATAGTACCTTAGGGATTCGTCCGAAAGAATTCATCACTTTTGAACACATTATAAAAAAAGAACTACTATATTAGAATGACCTCAAAAATTTATGCTGGATTTTTAACATAAGATGAAGTACTGAATGGGAAAAGAATTGAAAGATTTTTTTTTTTATTACATGAAGCTTTGTCTATTAGTAGCTCTCATAATTTTCAGAATATACTAAACGTTTCAATGAAAACAATGACTTTCTTCGTGAAGTATTCCATCTTTAAACATTTTTGAAATCTAATCAATTTTTGAACATTAAATATCTTAAGAAAAAAGTGAAAAGCTTTGCCTGAAACTTTTTGGATATTTTTAAGAAAATGAAGACTGGTTATAAGTAAAATATTTAAGTCAAAAATATTTTTCAACTGTCGTAATTTAGTTGAGAAGGCTTGTGAGCTCAAAAAGGCAAAAATCATCGTGATTGGTTCTCTTTTCATTAGCTTTACATCTACCATTTATGATATGTTTAGAAACTGTTTTTTGAACATTTATGAGATAATAAATGTATCTATCTAAGTGTTTACTGTCTTTAGTTTTTTATACTCTATTGCTTAACTTCCAGAGGACTAAAAAGTCTATCTAGAGTACATTTAGTTTTCTATTAGACAACTAACAAATGAATTTTTTTCTTTCAAATAGTTGCATCTACCAAATTCGGACGCAAGTAGATGCATGCAGCTTTATCCTATCAGACTTTCCAATTAGGAAGATGAGTTCCTTTTCCCGAAATGTTCGATTTTCTGCCAGTGTTTTACATGTTCGTAGTAACTTTGGTAGAAAAACGGATCATGAAGCACCATTTGTCTTTCTCTGACACGAAGTGTAGTAAAAATAAGCTGGTAATGTTGCTGAAAGGTAAATAGGATTTCAGGAGATGGAAGTCTTGGTGGCAGGCCGTCTGTTGTAGAAAGGGCTAAGTCAAGATGGATTTTCTTCTCTCGTCCTTCTGGTCATAACTTGTAGCAGTCTGCGAATGACAGTACTTTCTTCGAGAATTTTCAGATTTTAGGCCCTTTCACACCCAAACATAATCAACAATCCTGTATTCAACCCGACAGGTTTGAGTAAGGATACGAAAGTTTTTCTCATGAAAGGAGTCTTCGAATTGATGAATTACTTTTGAGTTGAGACCATGTGCATTAGGTAGACTTAAATGAGCTATGAAGAACTCAAACAAAGTTCATGTACTTAACTTTTTGCTGCGGAAATTCTACAGTTTTATGGATTTTTTAAATGAACACCGCGATCTCTCTCAGAAGTACTGGAAAAACTGATTTTCGAATTTCGGTTTGAAGCTTTACATAGAGATAGGTTTTAACGAGAATAGTTTTTTTTCAATGTTTTAGATTTAGTTGTTGTTTCTGTCCTAAGATAATTCATACATCAGTTAAGTCTACATAATGCACATAGTCTCGATTCAAAAGCAATTTATTAGTTGAAGAACTTTCTTCATTGGTTAAGGTGCAGAGTATTTGGAAAACTTCTAATACGTATCTCTAGATTCGAGTTTTGATATTTAATAAGAATCTTAGAAAGTTTTATTCATTTCTTTCAGTTTTTACTCAATTTCCATCGATATCTTGATATTTTTCATTTGACAGTCATAATGATAGTAGTTCCATTTTTGATTAATTTAGAACATCGTGATGCTACCAAACAAGAAGGACATACATTGGAAGCAGTAAAATTAGTTGAAGCATCTCTTAAAAAAACAATAACTGATCTATTTAAAACTCTCTTTCCAGATGCATCAACATTAAATTCACAATGGGTTGATGCTACTTTTCCTTTTACGCATCCATCATGGGAATATGAAATAGAAATAGATGGTAAATGGTATGAATTACTTGGCTGTGGTATAATGGAACATCGTGTATTAGAAAATAGTGGTTTAGGTAAAGATCATATTGGTTGGGCATTTGGTCTTGGTTTAGAACGTATTGCAATGATAATGTATGGTATTCCAGATATTCGTTTATTTTGGTCAAATGATTCAGGTTTTCTATCACAATTTGCATTCGATGATTCAACAAGTTCTGTTCGATATAAACCAATAAGTGTATATCCTCAATGTATCAATGATTTATCTATGTGGATGGGTAAAACTACAATTGATCCATCAGATTTTAATGATTTAGTACGAGCTATTGGTGGTGATTTAATTGAACAAGTTATGCTTATTGATCAATTTTATAATCCAAAAATACAACGACATTCACAAACCTATCGTATTATTTATCGTTCTATGGATCGAACATTAACAAAAAATGAAATAAATATGGTACATAAAGATATTGAATATCATTGTAAACAACAATTTGGTGTTGAAATTCGTTAATATGTAGAAAATTTTTTTTTTTTGTTAGATTGTTTTCAAATATAGATGAGTCTAACTTCATCAATATTCATTGTTTTTATTTCGTTAGAATTATTCAACATACAGTGCTGGTCAAAATTAAAGAACTACTTGTTCTAATTATCAGTTTCATGAGTTTTGACTATTTTCATTCTCTCATGTAAAGAATAAAAAATATGGTGAAGAAGTGCATTGGAATGTTCTCTATCTAAATGTGAAATCAGATTTTCTTGACTTGATTTGTTGATTTTTATCTCGTCAAAATTATCAAATCGATAGCTTATTTTTTCGTATGCTTCTCTGAATGTGACATCACTCTGATTCGATAGTGAAATTGATACGTATGGAACTTGATTCTGAACTTTTTCATGAAACTTGACTTTATAATTTAACTTTATTGCTTGAGTAAAAAATGATTGAAAAGTTTTATTGAAACTTCATACTTCAGTTAGTCTATTAACATCGAAGTGAGGTTGCTTTTTGAATAGCGAATTCGAATAGAAAGAACTTTTTACTTGAAAATAGATTGTTGGAGAGCTTTGTATCTCATTCCGTCAGAAACATAACTATTTTATTACAATATATACTGTTCACATTAGTCTGTAGCGCTTACGAGGCACTTTCATTTCTTTTTGAGTGTTACGTTCGAAAGGCTTCGTCTTGAATGACAGCATTTGCAACAACATCTACTATGGGTGTAAGTATCAGTATCCAAGTCTTAATCTCCTTTGTAAGCCTCATGTACATAAGGTTCATGAAGGGATCAAAGTCGTACATATGCGCTACGGACTGATTTGAATAGTATATACGTATTGTGATACGATCGCTATCTTTCTAATGAAATGAGACACGAAACTCTTCAACAATCTATTTTCATGCAAAACTTCGTTTCTATTTGAGTCCACTTTTCAAAAAGCAAGTCTATTTCGATTCTAATAATACCAGCTAAGATATGATGCTTGAATGCTATTTTCCAGCCATGTTTACTCGAACAGTGAAGTTGAATTATAAAATCAAGTAATTATAAATCAGTTTTAAAAGCAATTTTCATGAAAATGTTTAGAATCAAGTTCTCTACGCATCAATATTATTTTCAAGCTAGAATAGTGTCACTTTCTAAAAAACATAAGAAAAATACGATATCGATTTGATAATATTGGTTATATCAAAATCGATAGATCTTGACAGTTATCTGTTTCTTACAATTTGATTTCACATTCAGACAGTAGACTTATCCCAATACAACATATCTTCATGTAAGATAATTGAAATAGTCGAAACTTATCAAACAGATCTATTCGAACAAGTGATTCTATAAGTTTGGTCAGCAATGTATAAAGCGAAGAAACAATCGAATTAAATTGTTTTTGTTTTCTTTTTTTTTATTTCATTTCATTTGAGATGAGACATTTGTCCTCACTATTACTTCAGATTATATCTCCTTTAATCTATTTTCGGTGTTATTCAACTGTAAAAATGGTTTCAAATAATATTAAAATCGAAACTTTTTTCGTGCATGATGATGGACAATTTTTTCCTAATAATAATCATTTACCAGTTATAGTATATCGACAAGTATTTGGTAGTAAATCCGTTTCAGCATCAAAATGGGAACAATTATTTAAACAAAATAATTTTGGTAAATCATGGCGTGATGGAATATTTTCTATTCATCATTATCATTCAACTGCTCATGAAGCTCTTGGTTGTTATGGTGGTCGCGCACAAGTACGATTAGGTGGTGATAATGAACAAGTACGCAAAGATGTTGAATTAGTTTCTGGTGATTGTATTCTAATTCCAGTTGGCGTTGCTCATAAAAATATCGGACAAGATGATGATTTTAGTGTTGTTGGAGCTTATGATATAGATGGAAAAAATTATGATATGAATTATGGTAAAAACGCTGAAGAAAGATGTAAGGCTGAAGAAAATATAAAACAGGTAAAATACGAATTTTATAAGAAATATAATTGATTTACAGTACGTGCCGATTTGTTTTCCTCCCTTTTCTTTTTTTATCATTAGACTGCTTTTGTTGTGATATGAATAATAAACGTGGATGAAAATTGTAACAAAACTAATTAAACTATTTTTCTTTTGATATACTTTTCATACTTCAAACTACATTTGTTGTTAAACATTAATATATCACAAAAGGCAGCGCGTTTTGGACTTTCTCCCTTTATATAAGATAATGAAAAACAAAAGAAACCTAATGATAAAAACGATAAAGAAAGAAGGGGAAAAATCCATTGATGTGTACAGTAAATAGAATAATGCGACAGATGTTATCACAACAATATGTTTCTAATAAGTGGTAGTGACAAATATAGTAATAAATTTCTGAAAGGAGGAGCTGTACTTCTCTACCAAGCTGAAAAGTGGAATATTCTCTCAAGGTTTCAATCCTAAAAGAGACTTTGAAAGCTTTCGAATGGCGGAGAGAGGAATGTCGACCACCTCCTGGCTTTGCTACTAATTAAATGAGTTTTACTTGTGCAAGATATATTGAGTTACAGAATGAAAGAATTTCTCGATCATAAAAACAAATTTTATGTTTTTATTCATTGATTATTCAAGGTTTGAATTTTTTTTCTTAAGTAAATAACTTGACGACTTTAAAGACATGTTTTTTTTTTATTCTTCGTATAAATAATTGCAATGACAATTTTGTATGATTAATAGGTAAGGATACCCCGAATGGACCCCGTCGTTGGTGAAAACGGTGGCGTGATTCAACATTGGAAGAAGGATTGTTATCATCAAGAAACATGATGTGTGAATAATAACCTTTTGTCATTTTTGAGTGTATTGTAGGTAGGACAATATCAAATCGATACCTTTTTTTCTTTCGTTCTTTCGCTTGTTTTTGCTGTTCGTTAACCGAGTTGTGTATGGTTGTTTTTTTTTGCGGCATAGAAAAAAATTATTGACGCGTCTAATTCGTTCTCTTATAAATAAAGAGAAAAAAGAAACAAATTGAAAGTATAGAGAACGATCATTCCCTTTGACACGGCCATGAATAAAGTACAATGGGAAAGGTCTGATTTGGTTTTCTGAACTTTATAAATTTAATTTAAAATCTTTTTGACTTTAGATTGATGAGTATTAATGCATCAGCTGAAAGTCAATTACAAGCATCAAATATTATAAATCAACTTAAGTGTCGACAAACATTTGTTAAATTTAAGTCTAGTGGTCATACATATTCACGTATTTATTATCTTACTTTATCTGAAGATGCTATTCATTATTTAGGATCAAAACATAAATCTAAAAATGAAGCGTGTATGAAAAATTATGATTTTTATTTCTATTTTTAGTTACACCTGAAGACTAATACCTTTGTTTTTGTTTTTATTTAGGTAAAATAAAAGATATTGATCAAATACGTCCAGGTTTTACAACTGCTGTTTGGAAAAAATGCTTAAATAAAAGAAAAATTACACAAGATAAAGAAAATTTAGCTTTTTCAATTCTTTATGATAATAATCGGCATTCTCTTGATTTACTTGCTGACACAGAAACTATACGTTCGCAATGGATTCAAGGTTTAGAATACTTAATAAAACGATATCGGTCTCATATACGTTCACATCATGAAATAACAAATCAATGGGTATGGTTTTTATTTTCTCACGCTGATCATGATCATTCCGGACACTTAAATCGTGGTGAAGCTCGTCAACTTTTATTGGCACTCAATATTGAATTAGATGAACGAGATTTCGATGTATATTTTAATCAAGCAAATATTCGTAGAAATAATTATGAAGAATTAAGAAATTTAGATAAAGATGAATTTTTAATATTTTATAAATTTGTATCGCATCGACCAGAATTACTTAAAATTATTTGCCAGTAAGTTTAATATAGAATAAGAAAAATATATTTCCCAAGAGATAAGAAGTAAATTATAAAGAAATACTTGTTTGCTCTTATGCAAATTGTCATTTATAGGAGAATCAGTCACAATAAATTAATTAAAGGAATCAATTCAATCATTTGTTCTTTGTTTTTATTTACTTTAGATTCAATAATAGTACTACAAATCAAACAACAAAAACGCTTTCCAATTATAGTATTATCAATGCGTTACCTCATTCAAATCCAATTGAACGTCGTCGTGATTCCTCGTCAATAAACTTTCAAAAATCGAATGGTAAAAATGCTTCATCATGTTTTCGACGAAAAAAGTCAGCATCAATTACACGAGAACATTTTGCTTCATCTGATAGTATTAATGAAAATAATTATTTAACTATTGAGCAATTAAAAGATTTTTTACAAAAAGAACAACATATGGAAACATTATCAATTGAAGATTGTTCAAAATTAATTGCTAAATTTGAACCATCTTCAGAAGGACAACAATATGAAGAAATGGGTGTTGATGGCCTTCGTTTACTTTTACTTCATGATGAATTTTGTATTATGAATCCGAATAAATCTCATCGAATTTATCATGACATGACACGACCAATAACTGATTATTTTATTGCTACATCGCATAATACGTAAGTGTTTACTAGTACATGATTTCATATCATTCATCATATGAAACACAATCGAAAAGGAGTGTTGAAGTATGTGGGCTAGAATATCGCAACCTTTCAACTACACGGTAACAGACATTGTTGACATATGATCCAAGGCCGTATAACAATAATGTCTCGTTATAGTATGTGAACTACTTTAGAGATATGCATTGTGCCTAAAAAACAAAGCAGTGCAAAGAGTGACGATAGTTGTAAGATAGCGCTGAAGGTGACCATCACCTAAAGTCTTCTCAGTCGGTAGTGCGGCCGTAGCTGTGTAATAAAAAAAAAATGGCATCTCAGAAAAAACTCTTCTCTTAACTTTTCAACATTTGATGTCCATTTTTACCTTTAAAAACTTCTTGAGATACAGTTCAACGCCTAGTATGATAAAGACGCGACTGTCCGACAGGCACATAAGAAGAAAAGCGAAGTGAAACTATCCTCATGTTCCAAACTTTAGTTGGTGACGCGGTTGCTTCTGTGCGGGTAATGCATTTCTGGAGGATTAAGCAAAAGAACAGTAAAAAATATGTATCTCAAATAGAGAGGATTAAGCGGTCTCCCTATGATTAGTAAGGGCAGCTAAATCGTTTTTCATATGTTAATCTAGCAAGTATTACACTAACAGCTTTTTTTATTTAAATAGTTATATTCGTGATAATCAAGTCTACGGTAATTGTACACCTGAAACATATATTCATGCATTAAGAACTGGTTGTCGAGCTGTTGAAAGTAAGCTTTTGTCTTTTCAAAAAATTTGTCAGTACTTTTTCTTGAATGATAGTGGACTGCTATGATGGTGATAATATGGAACCGATTGTTTATCATGGTAATACATTAACTGCACCAATTCCATTTCGAGAAATTATTCTTGCTATTGAAACTCAAGCATTTAGTGCTTCACCGTAAGATTATTTCGATTTTATTGACTGATTTCGAGAATTTTCTTTTATAATTATTATTGATAGATATCCGCTTTTTTTAAATATTGAAAATCATTGTTCATATGAGCAGCAAGGTATTATGGCTCGTGTTTTGAAAAATACTTTTAAAGGTAAATTTGAATTTAGTTGTATTCGTATGTTTTTTTTTTTTGTTTATATTGTATAATAGATCATCTTTTGTCTAAACCATTGGTAGATAATTTTGAAACATTACCATCACCTGAAGAACTTAAATATAAAGTGATTATTAGGGTAAACATCTTTTTAATTATTGTTTACACATTATTAAATAAATAGCGTTGTATCATAGAGTCGTCGATATCCGAAAGGAAAAATTTCAGCTGATCCGAAATCTAATCGAAGTAACGATGAAACGGAACCAAATCCAAAAGTATTTTCTTTCCTTTTTATTCTACTAATATTGATTAAATTGATTTTTAGGATTATCATCCTGATTTTTCAAATTTAATTATCTATTCTCAAATTGTTTCTTTTACGAATATAACTCATACAATTTGTACACGTATGTTGAATATATTTTCTTTTTGAATAGTATTTTATTAATAATTTTGTTTTTTTTATTTAATAGAAAAATGTTTTCATTCAATAAAATCGAAATAATCTTACGGTGAAGCACTAAATGCTTGAGTTTCAATAGCNNAGTCCATTAGTCGAGTAGTACTTTCTTTTCTAGTATATTGTCATACAGTGATTTTTAGGCTGTTGAAGTAGTGATATAAGTTATGATACTGAATCCATTGGCTAATCATATATTTCTATATATCAATCGTTATAATTTAGAATACTATAAATGAATTTCATGTCTTCAGGGTGTGGGTATGGCTAGGATGTAGATGTGGGTGTGTGGGTGTGGGTGTGGGTGTTGTTTGGACGGGTATGGGTGTGGATGTTGTTTGGATGGGTATGAGTGTGGATGTTGTTTGGATGCGGGAATGGCTAGAATGACAATAACGACATCCATACCAACATCAAACCAATACCCACATCCACACCCTTAGAAAAGAGGGAAGTACTGATCGATTAGCGGAATAAACGTCAAATGACTAAGTACCCAGTTCGACTGGATACCCAGTCCGACTGGGACCCAGTTACTGGCACTGGTGCACACCTAATATTGGGCATTGATTAAATTCAACAAATTTCAATGATAATAGTAAATAATCATCAATTCGGTAGATACTAAGAGTTTATGCTATCTGTTCAATGTCGAAAAATCAAAACCAAAATTCGAAATGTTTCGCCTCGTATGTTGAGCTCAGATACCATCTAGTTATCATACTAATGTTTTTGTACAGTCATGCAAATTTATCTTTCCGTAATATTTTATACAAATTTAATTTTTGTCGTAATATTATTTATACAAGTGCGTTAGTATGCTATCTATGTTGTTTTTTTCTTGATTAATAACAAAAGTGAAAAGAAAATTGTTCCTTTTCTTAGAAAATGTAATATATTCGCAGAAGATTATAGTATATTCGATATTTAGCTGTTGGGATCAAGTAATCGACGCATAAATGGATCAGATTTACATCTAATGAAAAAACAAAAATCATAGATGATCAGATACAGGTATATAATTAAGTAAAATATACCCGCTAATGAACTCTGTTTTCGATAATTTTTTATCACCACTAAGATCGAGTTTTGCTATAATCTGTGCAGCACGTCTTTTTGGATCATGATCACCTTTAAGATTAGTTTTACCAGCAAGTTTATACTGAAAAAAAAAGAACAATGATTGTTCTATTTGAAGAATATAATTAAAAATTTACCAAAGCTACGATCATTTTCGTTAATTCTGCTTCATCAATTAGTCCATCTTTCGAAATATCATATCTACATATTAGAGAGATCATACGTTAAACAATGAGATATTTGACATGCATACATATCAAAAACAAGGTCAAGACGATCATCAAGATTACCATTTCTTGCAGCTGAATAGGTTATAAGAAATTCTTCAAAGCTTATTGTACCATCATTATCGGCATCGAATGTATCAAAAGCATATCTAGAAATGTAAAAAGACAATAAATCCGTATATATGAGCTAGAAAAAACCTTCAAAATCGTAATTGATCCTACTTGCAAAACTTTTTTGGATTGCCTTCCGGATAGAACTGTTTGAAAAGTTCGATGAATCTCTTCTGATCAAGTTTACCACTGGGACAATCACGAACAAAGCCCTAATAATGCACGAGAAGCTCACAGATGTAAATTAATATTCAAAACTGATTCAACAAACTGCATGCCATTCTCGAATTTCTATGTTAAAATAAAACAAGTAAGCGTGAAATATATCAGTTATTTAGAAAAGGATTATAAACACGTGTACCCGCTTCTGTATATTTGGTATGTGCCGTAAGTGAAGCAATTTCTAAAATTAATATAGACATTGATCCATTCTATTGTGAATGTTTTCAAAGAAAAAGCAAACGAACGCTTGTTTGTAAGTTCAATCGAAACATGATTAGCGTGTTTACCACCCATGATTACTAGTTTATATCAAATGAATAATAAACGAAACAAAAATTTAAAAGAAAAAACTCAGGTATTGGAGCTTGTTTATTTGTATGTATGTGTACATGCAAGTTGAATGATGTGTGTATCGATTGATTTGTGATTACATTTGTAAAACAGAGATAGATAAATGAAAAATTACCTTGAATACATGTTGGCGTACGCATACTATGCAGAAATGCGAAGCTCGAAAAAATCAAGTCATTTATTCGGATGAGCGAGCATGATATATTTTGAGTGTTGATGAATAGTTAGACGAATATGGTCGTTATTATTTCCATTACTTTCATTAGTAATCATATTTCAATGTGGGAGATTTTGAATATAACTATGATTCATAAGTAACTGAACAATATTTTGCTTAGATTCTAAGAAAATAACATTACATTAAAAAGTGATGAAAAAATTCAGTCAACCTATGACAGAAATAATTTAGAGGAAAATCGTGAGGCTATTGAGCATAGGAGATACTCAATAAAAAAAAAAACTTTTTTGTGCATTTAATGCATCGATGTCTGATACTTCGAATGCCAAAATTTTAGCACTTGATACCCTTTCTTTCAATAGTTAGTCAATACTGACTTTTTATCGCTATCACATGGTTATGAGAGAAAAAACTACTAAAAATACCTCGTAAAAAGTCTGCTTGTTTTTATTTCAATGACTCATTCAAGTTGTTCACACTGTAAAAAAAAAGGTATTTTACTGAACCCTTAAAAAAAGGTTCCGTAGATATCTACAAGCGTCCAAATACGTTCAAAGTCTCAAAAAAAGAATAAAAAATATACGAAGCCTTTAAAGGTTCTTCCAGTGTACCCAGGAGAAGAACCTTTAAAGGCTTCGTATATTTTTTAGCCTTGTTTTGAGACTTTGGACGTGTTTGGACGCTTGTAGATACCTACGGAACCTTTTTTAAGGGTTCTGTAAAATACCTTTTTTTTACAGTGCAGAATTTATTCTTTCTCAACGTATACATGTGTACATGTTTGTTTGTTTCTTTCGTTCTTTTTCAATGATTGAATATTGTTCGTTCTTTCGTTTTCTTTCATATAATTACTCTGCATTCGTTTCTATTCTTATTACGTAATAATATTAATATAATTTAGTAATATGTCTATTGTGTATTTTGTAATACGTGATATAGTGATCGTTATTTATGTATACATATATGTTTTCTTCTATTCGTTTATAGTGGCTAATCGTGTTGTTCTCTTCTTTGATTATTTCACTATTGAAATAAAGATTGAAAGCCTGTTCAAACAGAAAACTTACACAAGTTTTTTTTATTAATTACACTAAATGAGAGAGAATTAAAAACTCAACAAAACGAGCTATTTAAATGTGATACAATATTCATCGACTCAAGTTTTATAAAGTTAACATAGATGAAAAATAACTCTGTTGATAAGTTACAAATTCCCATTTGATAATTACTTAGCTGCTGTCGGAATTCAGAACCAGAGAATTTCAAGTTAAATTTTAGATGTGTTATGCAACCTTTTATTTTCTAAAAAATAATAAAAAATGTTCAAATATAAAGAGGGGATGGTAAAGTTCTAATCATTACCAAATTTGACTAAATTTCTGATTTCTGATTTCTGAGGAAGAAATCTATGAAAATGATTAGAAAACCAGAAATCAGAAATTACCTTATACTATAAGTTGATAGCGAATTTGAGTGTCATCTCATTTGTTATCGTCAAATGCTATGATGCTCTTAATCGGTACTAACTCACTTCGTATTACTGATCCGTCACAGATAATTAAACAAGTAGAATTTTCAATTCATTTCATTCATAAACATTATAATCATATGAATTATAAAGGAAATAGTATAGTAATTAGTATCATTTCCTTGTGATAAAATTTCCTTTATTTCCCCATCAACATCATCCTGAATATCTAATATTAGCGTTTACAATGACCAATTGAAAGCTTTATTGGTTCGTTTTTATTTCACATTCGTCGATTTTCATGTAATTGACAATCATCTTAGTAATGGTCAAACACATCTTCATTTCAATCATCATAATTTCATATCTAAGTCTATCACTAATTACTTGAAGAAATGACATCAATAACAGTCATATTCTATTGCATTAATCATCGATCTCGAGAAGCAATCAATAGGCGTAATAAAAAGCATCGCGAAAAATTAAATCTTCAACAGCAACAATGTACAGTCAAAAGGCAGATTGATATTCATTGAAAATTAAAAAATTTCAGACAACTGTTTCAATAACATCAAATAAAATATGCTCGTCTACCAGAAATATACAAACATATTCTTCGAGTCTAATTTAACAATTCGATTGATCAAGATTATAACAGCAAGATGCTAACACCATGTATTTGCAACGAGGAAAATTTTAAGAAATACTTTGGTACATCTCACTAATTTTTCTTATTTTTTCTTATTGTTATGCTTCTTTGTTCTTTTTCCATTGTTCATTTCTATAAACTACTTTTTTATTGTCATACTTGTTCTGTTATTTTCCACTATTTGTGTGGTTATACTTATGCAACGTTAATGAGCCGACCTCCGATTTTGAGATAATTGTTCTTCCGACTTACGTTGTAGTATGTACAGAAATTCGGGATAACTCACTCGGACGAAGTGAGAATGTACTAGCGTTAATAGAGATCACTGCATTGTCGCTAGCAGTTCTCGTTAATTGTTACTGCTTTTTTTCCTTCCTTCTCTTGGTTGTTCTCTTGTAGTGTTCTTATGTCCTACGAGTCGTTGTTGGTTTTCATCGTTGAGATCATCTCTTTTCTTCTCATCTTTCTTTGTTATTTTCTTTTCTGTTTTATTATTACTAACAAAACATCATCTCATCATCATCATCAATCCCTTATCGCGTCGCCAACACACAGTAGGTGTATTTCTTTTACGCGAGACTTATCATTCCCTTAGCAAACTATGGTCTAAACTTAGTTGTCATGCGTTGAAAAAGCATTGGATTAGTGGAGACCAATTGAGCGCATTACTATTTAACAAGAAAGCTGTAGAAGTCTAAGGAAAATACCTGCCCGTCAATCACTCCAGACTCACTGTTTCTTATAACAACATTGCCGAGGTCTATAATTATATGGGAGACTACTCAAATGCATTTTCATTATATCTGAAGATACAAATGATCAGCTAAGAAACACTACTATCCAATCATCCATGGCTGACTACTGTGAACGACAATATTGGTTTGATATGTACTCGATTCGAACAGTACTCAAAAGCACTTCTCTTTTATGAATGTGTGGGTGTGGTTATCTTCCATTCACTCACATCCACATCCAAAAAATCATGATTCGTGTGAAAGTCATTCAACCGATATCTGTACATGTTTTCAATGTCTCTAAAGCATCCTAGATCATGACAGGTATGCCGATATGTCTCACATGGTCTGAAAGTCGTCACTTTTCTCACTATAAATTCCAATATTTATTAATAATCATGTTTCATCAAAGTCATCTCATGTTCTAAAAAGCCTGCATAAAAGAATAGGATGATTGTCAATTATGCAAAGTCTTGTTCATCACGTTTTTGGATTGATTTCTACAGTTCCCATGACAATCGGTTCTCCGCTTTGCAACAGCTGATCGCTCGGTTCCACTAGAATAATGTTTGGATTTTTCGGGTCGACTTTCCATTTCAATGTATCACTGAGAGTCACATTATAACTTGCTTTTGGGAAGTGCACATCGGGTACGAAGATTTCTGTAGGCTCTTTGATAGTTGTATCAATGTAATAGGACAAGTAGAAGTATCGTCTTTCAGGAACATACATGCTGAAAACAGGTTTACCAGCCATAGCTCTAGCATACACTCGTGCCAATCGATTGATGGTAGTTTTTTGATTACGAACAACTCCCCAGTAGGCCCACGATTGATAAAATTCATCCGCTGCTTCTAGAGCCCATCGGAGTTGTTCGTCGCACGTCGGTGAATCATCACATCCACCAAATTCAGTTAGAAATGCTGAGCCACCTAACCGAAGAAGATCAACCTAGAAAAAGAATGACTATTTCCACTGAAAAAAGATTTAATCCGTAGCGCTTGACAAGGATAAAAATATGAAATATACATGATCAATCAAATTCTATATCAACAGAAAAGGTCATTTAGCATTAAATATTTTTACATACAACAAGAATATTCTCAGCTGACTGCTGTCTTTGTCTGTTTTGTGATTATGATTGGAATATGTTTATTACCCCATTTTCTCGGCTTATTGATGCTAGTCATTTTTTTCTAGGTTGATCTTCTTCGGTTAGGTGGCTCAGCATTTCTAACTGAATATACCTTGGAACTTACAATAGTACATTCAGGTGGTCTCTTTAGTCGATGAAACACTCACTTCTACCTCACACTAGCATTTCTTGCAGCATATCTTACCATCTCTCACAAGACATACTGGTATAGTTTTAGCCACCAACGTTGTAACCTTTCAAATAATTTTATTCGTTATGTAATTCCGATTATTAGACTTTCTGCATTGTGGAACACTCTAGGGCATTCCAAAACGTTCTCGAAAGACTATTTCGTTGATCATTGTTCCTACTACAATGTAGAAATAGAAGCCAGAACTTCTCATTGAATATTTGATCTTCACTAATGCATAGTGGATTCAATGAGAGTGAGAATGAGAGAAAACAAAAGTATTATGAAAATTGAAAAGAATGAAAATATTCAATGAGAAAAGAGCATTTCCCAAGGAGTTTCTTTTCATTTTTGTGATCGAATCAACTCATCATTTCGCACGTTTAGTTCACAAACGTTAACAGTCACACTTGTCTAATAATACACTCAATATTTGTACTAGGTGTTACCTCTAAAGTAGAGTCCCAAGCTCACATTAAAATCTACAATCACTACTTTCAATTTAGAGAACTCCTTGCAATAATTGAGTTCTTTCATTCTTACTCGAACAGATTCAAAGACAGCCGGTCCTTCAATATCATCACAAAGAACACGTTCAAAGGTAGGTATGGTACCATTGCCTGGAACGGGATCAAGGGACAAGACAATGCAATAATAATGATAGGACAAAACACTGCGATCACGATAAGAGTCACCGCCTGGTACGTGAGTAAATCCAGTGCCAAAGTATTTACCATTCAATCGAACTAGAAAGACAATTCTCAATTTAGCATGACTTTCATATTTTTACCGACCTCCCCATGTTACTGGTTCATAGAAGATCAGCGTCTTGTCGTCTACTGATCGGATCGCTTTAGCTAATTTATCATATAAGGGTTGCAAATTCGTTGAACCAGCAATGCCAGGCAACAACAAAAATGGATTGGCAATGTAATTTCCAGCCCAAGGCTCATTAATCAACTCGTACCTATGGAAATTGTCACGTCATCATTTTTACCATAGCTTGGCGAAAAAAAATATCCTGTTTCATTGAGAATCTCCGAAGAAAATTATCTGTGCGCAAAGAACTTTGTTTGACAAATGATGTTTAGATTAGAAACAAAACTTTTTGAGAACCGCTATGTTCACTCTGAAATCTTTGTTCTTATGAACAAATCAACTCAATAAAAAGCTTACCCTAGGATATTTGAATATCCTTTGAACGTTTTAGCCACTACTCGCCAGAAGTTGCTCATTGATTCGACAGCACCAGACACATTGTCATACAAACATTGAAATCCGTGTGAGCATGCTTCCGTTATATATCTTGTTTTGAAGTAGTAAAGGTTAGATATTTTAATGAGATCTATTCCACTTACCCGAAAAACCAATCTCCAACTGGTGGTGCCGATTGCAATGGCCAAGGATCTGAAAAATAATGGATATTTGAAGTAATCANGCTCTAAGGCGGCATATCGAACCGTCATCTGCAAAATGTTGACTTTTTGACCTCAGATTGTTTTTGAAACTGAAAAAGAAATCACCACTGAATTGACCATGGCCGAGAATCCCTGCTGTGACCGGTTCCAGAGTGACCGGATGCCAGTTAGCGTATTTCGGTGGTCTCTGGAAAAATCTTCGTAACTTCTCTACTGAACAGGCTAGCAAGGTCGGCCTTGTACAGATTGAAAGAAAACAATGTCTTCTATCGTATAATTGCTTAGGATTTCGAGATCGAGTAGGAGAAAGTGTTTTTTTATCAATCTCAAAATATCACAATAAATTCACTCGATTGGTTACCTGCTCATCTATCAAATTTTTTTTCATACAGTTATGACTCCCACTGTTCTCTTTCTAATGGTGAAAACCGTAGCACTCCAGTTCTATCCTTTAAAAAGTTATAAGCATTCCACCCACCCTGTTCTTTTTAGAAAACGGTAATAGGCTCAAGTTTTTGGGATGCTTAGTATGTAATTTGTCACATCTCGTTTTAGTAGAAGAAATGCAAAATAGTTCCAGTGAAAAAATTCCTGTTTCTCTATCAGGACTCATCCGATCGTCGAGGAAGTTTTATGGTATAGAGAACTTTTAATGCTCTATCGAACTGAATAATAATTGGCTTTTTAATTTCATTTTCTGAATTTTCGACTGACGGAAGGAAAATTTGTAACCGCTATGTCTCTATCGAAATGCATTTTTTCGCTAAAAAATTTTAAGAGTATACGTAGTTTCACTTGCTCTGCAGTTTGATTATAAAATATTAATACCGAGGGAAGTACACCCATCCACTCTGCCCCCCTCCCCTCCCCGTTCGTTAAGTTTAATGATGCACTTGAAAATTTTACATATATACGCTTTTGTAAAACTCTGTGTAAATGAATGGAAAACAAAACTTTTTAGAATCTGAATCTTACATACTCTCATCTTCTTCTTCTCTGAATAAGCTTCGTATTTTGCAGTATGTTCTCAAAAACGTATTTGTCAATGCGTTTCTTTGATCTTGAATAAAAATTATTGTTCTAGATATTTCTGTAATCAAAGTACCATGGCTAACAAGGAAATAATAAATGATAATTATGCTGTCAATTTTCCTCTTCAATCTACTCATGAAACACAAATGATCCAGATTTACCTTCCGCGTGTGAACATCCGCGAGTTGATTTTAGCAGTGGTTGGAAAGATCGTGGCTTTGCTATTGCCTTCTGGATTAATACAATTATTGTCATATTAGTTGGCTTAATATTAGGAATACCTGCTGTAATTGCTTTCGTGAAGAATAACTCATTCGATGAACTGGAAAAAGTATCATCTAACTTTGACATCAAACCTTATGTGTACGGATTAAGTGCTGCAGCAATTGTTGGTAGATTTGCTTCGTTCCTTACGTTCTCTATTCTATAAGCATGTATTGGACAACTGATTAAAAGTACATTTTTTGTAATTATAATGATGCAAGTTGGTCTCGCAGTGATTCTATTCTTTGTATTTTCTCCGTTATGTTTTATACCTGGTACTTTCTATTATTTATGTTAATTTATATATCATGTGTTCGAAAACGAATCTCATTTGCTGAAGTTCATTTACAAGCAGGTTGTGCGTCTTTACGTAGTCATCCATCGTTGATATGCATTGCAATCGTTATGATTATTGTCGAATAATTGTGGTTTATATTCTGGTTTTTAATGGTATTTGGTGTTCAACAAACTTTTTTTAATTCGACGTTAGTTCTAAACTTCAACACGAGTAGCAGTTTAAACAATTCCATAGCATCTAATGTGAGTAGTACAAAACCTACATGGATAAGAACAACAACTCGTGCTTTTGACATGAACAATAAAACAACATACTGGATGACAGAAAATGAAATAGCTAGAAATAAGAATATCTATTCAATTGATGAACAACAAGTCAAACAGAATTCGACTGCTCCTAATGAAGTCAAATGGTATTTACGATTCCATTATATCCCAAATAGAGATCATTTATTCATTTTGAATTCTTCCTCCAGGAGAGAACTAGAACAGTATTTTCACGTTTGACTTCAACAATAATACATTCACTTTACTCAAACAATACTTTACTGTCCTTACCTGACACTGTTCTTCTCATCAAGTTCGTTCAAGTAGAAACTTGACCAAATTTTCTTTTAGATAAATTTATTGCTTTTTGTCAGACTAAAAGTATGACAGATAGAACTAAACTTGCAAAAATAGCGGATGTAGAACGAGAAACACAGTATGGCTATGTCTGTCGAATATGTGGTTCAGGTAACGAACATCGATAAATTGTCATTCAGTGGAATAGTTCTTGTTTTCTAGTGATAATGACCAATCATGTGGCTGGTGCCGCGATTAACGAATTAGTAAAATGATGCATATTTTCTATAATTTCAATAAACAATTTAATTATGATGTAATAGGTTCGAGTAGGTCATGAAGAATTAATTGGAGAAATCATTCGTTTGGAAAACGATTTAGTAACAATTCAAGTGTACGAAGAAATATGTATAGATGCATTTTCATTGAATATGAATATGTTCAAATGACATTGTATTTGTTTAGCTGGTATTGCCATTGGAGACCCTGTTCTACGAACGGGCAAACCTTTATCCGTTGATCTTGGTCCAGGCATAATGACCAGTATTTTCGATGGTAATATATGAATTATTTTCTAAATAAGGAAACGTTTACCGTATCTGTACCAGATTAAACTGTTAACTTTTTTTGAAAAGAGTTGAAATCTGAATCCTGTCTCTTTGAAAATACCCAGAATAACGATGAAAGACACTGTTAGTTTAACAATCTAGTCTAAGTGAATAATCATTAATGGAATCTATATGAATGATAGGTATTCAACGACCTCTTGCAATGATTTATGATTGTACAAAAAGTATCTATATTCCACGTGCTACCAGTAGCCCTTCTTTAAATCGTTCGACATTATGGCATTTTACTCCTGAAAATCGCATTCAAGTAGATTTGTTTTTTCTGTGATTAATGAAGTTTAATTTCATTTGAAATTCAGATTGGTAGTCATATTACTGGTGGAGACATATTTGGTACAGTACCAGAAGATCAAATTATTCAACATCGATTAATGCTTCATCCAAAAGCAAAAGGAACTGTGACTTATATTGCACCGGAAGGCAATTATACCCTTGAAGTATGTTCAACTGATTGATTTTGTCCAGTTTTCATCAATTCAATTTATGATTGTACATAGGATGTTATTCTTGAAACTGAATTCAATGGAGAAAAAAGTGAACATACAATGCTTCAAATATGGCCAATTCGACAGATGCGACCGGTGACTGAAAAACTTGTCCCTAATCATCCATTATTAATGGGTCAACGTGTTTTAGATTCATTATTTCCGTATGTTTCGATGAATGATTGAAATTACAATAAAAAATAATTCTATTTATATCCATAGATGTGTTCAAGGTGGTACAATAGCTATTCCCGGTGCTTTTGGTTGTGGAAAAGGAAGTATTACTCAATCATTAGCAAAATATTCTAATAGTGATGCCATGATTTATGTTGGATGTGGAGAACGTGGAAATGAAATGGCTGAAGTTTTACAAGATTTTCCACAAGTTAGATCATTGATTGGTTTAGTTTTTTATTATTGTCGAAGATTTTGTTTAGTTAAAAATGGAAATAGAAGGAAAAGAGGTATCAATTATGGAACGAACAACATTAATAGCCAATACAACCAATATGCCTGTCGCGGCACGTGAAGCTTCCATTTATACAGGTTTGCTCGTCTTGTCTTTAATATACCACAATTTATCAATAATAAAAAACCGAGTTCCATCATGCGTAAACTGCAAATGTGAAGCACACTTACGTATTCACCTTTTACAATTCTCTGATTTGTAGCAGTGTGACCTCTTTGATTGGAATCGTAGTTGGAGAGTAATATGCGATGTTGGATAGATATGCTACTTACAATGATAGAGACATCACCCTTACTCTCAGAGTTATCATCTGAGTTTTATCTGTCGAGGTTACTTATTTTCAGGTGTAACAATGTCGGAATATTTTCGTGATATGGGTTACAATATTATGCTGATGGCTGATTCGACCTCACGTTGGGTCGAAGCTTTACGTGAAATTTCTATTGGTTTAGCTGAAATGCCCGGTGGTATGTTCTTTTACAATCCTATTGATATATTATCTTATGTTTGTTTTTGATAGATTCAGGTTATCCAACTTATCTCGGTTCACGTTTAGCTTCATTTTATGACCGTGCTGGTCGTGTTCGATGTTTAGGTAATCCAGAACGTGAAGGTTCTGTGAGCATTGTTGGAACGTAAGTATCTTTAAATCAGCTCAATGAAATGATTAATGCTTTATTATAGATTTTCTCCTCCCGGTGGTGATTTCACTGATCCATTAGCAGCAATAACATTAAGTACTGTTCAAGTATTTTGGGCTTTAGATAAGAAATTAGCACAACGTAAACATTTTCCATCGGTCAATTGGTTTATGTCATATAGTAAATATGCACATATTCTTGATGATTATTATGAGAAAAATTTTCCTGAATTTGTTCCATTACGCACGAAGGTAAACCACTAAGAAATAAAATTTCTTTTAAATAGAGAAATTTGAATGAGACTATTGATCATTTAGTGTAAAGAAATATTAGAAAAAGAAAAAACACTTTCTAATCTTGTTCAATTAGTGGGAAAATCATCATTACCTGAAACAGATCAAATTACATTGGAAGTTGCTCGTATGATGAGAGAAGATTTTCTTCAACAAAATATATTTTCATCTTATGATAGGTAAGATGATATTTATCGATTAATATCCATCAAAAATCTTTTTTTCACGTCGTCATTTGAAGATATTGCCCATTTTATAAATGTGTAGCTATGCTACGTAATATCATTACTTTTTATGATTTGTCCCATCATGCTGTTGAAACAACAGCTCAATCGAAAAAGAAAATAACTTGGACGGATATTCGAACTAATTTAGATGACATTCTTTATCAATTAAATTCTATGAAGTTTAAGGTATCAAAATATTGAGATTTCTTTATTGAATTGCATTGATGAATTGATATGTCGTTTTAGGATCCAACGAAGGATAGTGAAGAAAAGATCAAATGTGAGTTTGAAGAGTTAAATGAACGAATGCAAGCAGCTTTTTATGCTATGGAAGAAAGTTACAGTTTCTAGTTCTCTACAAACACTTTCTCAATACTGAATACAGTGATACTTTTTCTATTCAAGAGCAATTGGTCATTTTATTGTAATAGTTTTATATTCGTCAAAGATCTTCTCTTCAGATAATGATAAGTCAATTGATGAAATACGCTTAATTCATTTGAAAGTGAAGAAATGCACCTGAATTCGATCTTTCTTTTTTTTTTGTTCTGATTCTCAACTGAATGATATATTGATGAGAAGCTAAAAGGATGGGGGCGTATAAGGGTCATTTTTGGGCCCTCGTTAATTTTGGTTGGTTCATGATCTACTAGATGTAGAATTTCACGAGGAATCGTTTCGTATCAAAATAAAGTTGTTTCAGAAGAGTCTAGATGGACTTTTGTTGAAAATACTAACATATATTTTGTACCATAAATCGATCATTCATACATGGACATGTGATCCATGTAAATTTTCCTATCTTANACAATAGCTATTCCCGGTGCTTTTGGTTGTGGAAAAGGAAGTATTACTCAATCATTAGCAAAATATTCTAATAGTGATGCCATGATTTATGTTGGATGTGGAGAACGTGGAAATGAAATGGTTGAAGTTTTACAAGATTTTCCACAAGTTAGATTATTGATTGATTTAGTTTGTTATTATTGTCGAAGATATTGTTTAGTTAAAAATGGAAATAGAAGGAAAAGAGGTATCAATTATGGAACGAACAACATTAATAGCCAATACAACCAATATGCCTGTCGCTGCAGGTGAAGCTTCCATTTATACAGGTTTGCTCGTCTTGTCTTTAATATACCACAATTTATCAATAATAAAAAAACCAAGTTCCATCATGCGTAAACTGCAAATGTGAAGCACCCTTACGTATTCACCTTTCACAATTCTCTGATTTGTAGCAGTGCGACCTCTTTGATTGGAATCGTAGTTAGAGAGTAATATGCGATGCTGGATAGATATGCTACTTGGAATGCTAGAGACATCACCCATACTCTCAGAGTTATCATCTGAGTTTTATCTGTCGAGGTTACTTATTTTCAGGTGTAACAATATCGGAATATTTTCGTGATATGGGTTACAATGTTATGCTGATGGCTGATTCGACCTCACGTTGGGTCGAAACTTTACGTGAAATTTCAATTGGTTTAGCTGAAATGCCCGCTGGTATGTTCTTTTGCAATCCTATTGATATATTATCTTATGTTCGTTTTTGATAGATTCAGGCTATCCACCTTATCTCGGTTCACGTTTAGCTTCATTTTATGACCGTGCTGGTCGTGTTCGATGTTTAGGTAATTCAGAACGTGAAGGTTCTGTGAGCATTGTTGTAACGTAAGTATCTTTAAATCAGCTGAATGAAATGATTAATGCTTTATTGTAGATTTTCTCGTCCCGGTGGTGATTTCACTGATCCACTAGCAGCAGTAACATTAAGTATTGTTCAAGTATTTTGGGCTTTAGATAAGAAATTAGCACAACGTAAACATTTTCCATCGGTCAATTGGTTTATTTCACATAGTAAATATGCACATATTCTTCATAATTATTATAGGTCTGGGTGTGTGGGTGTGGGTGTGTGGCTATGGGTGTGGTTATGGGTGTGGGTGTGGTTGTGGGTGTGGTTATGGGTGTGGGTGTGGTTGTGGGTGGGTGTGTGCGGGTGTGAGTGGGCATGGGTGTGGATGTCGGTGGATCTGAGATGTCAGGATCCATTCACCTAAACCCACACCCACACCGACACCCACACCGACACCCACACCCACACCCACACCCACACCCACCCACACCCACACCTACACCCACACCCACACCCACACCCACACCCACACCCACACCCACACCCTACACATCCGCCCACACTCAATCCGCACCCCTCCCCCCAGGCACTCACACCCACATCCATACTCTGAAAAAAAAGGAGGTTTGCAGAACCCCTCAAAAAGGTTCTGTAGATTTCTAAAAGCATCCAAATGTGTCCAAAGTCTCAAAAAACGGATAAAAAATTCGACAGAACCTTTTGAGGGTTCTG